AGAAGTCGTTACGTAGGTGTAGCGTTACTCTTGGGCCTGGAGCTATGTGTGGGCCCAATCCAGTGTCGAGTGCCTGTGTGTATTTATCACCAAATCTAGATCCGCAGTGAGGCATGAATTCTGTGTTGCCTTGTTCCTCTCATCCCTCCGTTCTCTCTTCCCGTCTAATTTCTCTACAAGTCTCGTTCTCATCCCGTTCTCCTTTGCAATTCCGCTCGTACGATCCCAGTCGAGAGCCGGGTTCGTTACGTGTCATGACTTACTGCTATACTCGGCTAGGCAGCTAACAAAAAGTATATAAGTACGGTCAAATTATATCATCTAACAATCCTCGGACCTTAAACATAGGAAAACATAATGATAAAATCTTTCCCTACTAATAAAGCACGGAGTGCTTCTGCCCGTCCGTCGTCGTCACTTTTGCATAAAAGTCCTTCTGTTTCTGAGAATTCAACCCGCAGTCTTAATTTTAAGTGGGTATCTATATAACGCTTCGTTTTTACAAAAACGACCCCGCATTTGTTTCTATTCAACCCGCAGTCCTTTTGGGGGCAGAAACGCGTGCGCCGGAGCCAGGGAGCTCGGCTCCGCGCCACGCGCTCGCCCCGACCCCGCCTTCCTCCGCCGCCTCGCCACGCGCTCGCCCCGACCCCGCCTTCCTCCGCCGCCTCGCCACGCGCTCGCCCCGACCCCGCCTTCCTCCGCCGCCTCGCCACGCCGGCCGGCCTCACCGGAGATCACCGCCGCCGCGACCAGGTCACGTGGCCGCCCCTGCCTTCTCCTCCTCCCTCACCTTCCTCCCTCCCTCTCACCATCTCTCTCCCCCTCTCATTGCAGTGCCACCATGGCCGCCCCGAGCTTCGCCGGCAGCCGCGCCGCCCGCCTCCGGCCACGACTCCGACGGGATCCGGCCACCACTGCCCGGATCCGCATCCTCTGCTCCGCCGCGCCCCGGATCCGGCCACCACCAAGCCTCCGATTCATAAATAGTCCTCGCTCCTTTGCATAGAATCCAATCAATTTATACACACGGGCGATTTTGCCCCATTAGAAGAAATCAACGACAATAGGAGGGGAACAGAAGGAAGGAATTAATCCCACAAGAAGGAAGATGGAGCAAAAGAATACACGACAGAGTAAGGGAAGGGGTGGGGGAAGACGAGCCGAAGCAGAGGATGCCGGACGAGGCAGCGGCCTGCTAGCGTGATGCAACAGAGATGTGCCAGGTGGACCTCGAGATGTGCAGAGGCGAAGGCCGAGGCGTCGTTCGGCGCTGCCCGTTGATGACCACGGCCTTGTGGTCGTAGGACACGGCGGCATCGCCGACGGCAGCGGCCCCGGCGCAGGCCGAGGAGGAGGACGCGGAGGGCATGGTGGCGCCTGGATCTGTTCTCTCCCCCTCGACTGCTGCTCGGACAGTGTGGACCAACTGTGAGTGGCGCTGGGCTTATATGCTGGTGGTCTATCTGGCCTCGCCGGTGGTGTTGATGATGGCGGATGTCTCTGAAAGAATTATAGCAGTGCTGGAGGAATGATAAGGGAGGGGCGAGATGAGGGTAGTGGTGAGGCCGGGCGGCAACGTGGCGGGCGGCGGCGAAGCTCCGGTAGAACGGCGCTCGCCGGGCAGCCGGCTCACAGCGCGCCGGATCAAGCTGGCTGCTGCGGCTGTTGAAGTGCAGTGCGTGTGTGCAGATGGGGATGAGAAGAGAGCTGGGGCGAGAGAAGTTAATGGATGGAGATGCATCTCGGTGGAAAGGATAAAGCAAGCTCTAAAGCGGTGGTGTACACGTGCCTATACGTGCCGGCCGCTCGACCCTCAGCGTATGCCAAACATTGAAAATGTAATATAATCTTTCAAATCAAACTATCTTTGATAAAAAAACTAAAAAATCATAAGAATTCAAATCGTTTGATAATTTTATAAAATAATTTATTAAACTCTCAAAGAATATGTAAGGGCATCTCCAACGCTGACCCACAAGGCGTCAGCAACCGTCCGGACTACCGGTCCAGACGTGTTCTGCCATCTAACATGGGCATGTATCGGTCAGCCGATCGGTCTGGGCCTACTTTTTACCGCAAAGCAAACATAAACTTGGGGGAGGGACTTTGCGGGTGTCCGAACCGCTGCCAGGCTCGATTCTGACTACCCTGGGCCACCTAACATCCACTCCATTCCCGCCCGGAGCATTCAAATGTGAGGCCTTTGTTCGCCTCCCTACATCAAACATGCGCGGGTGCCGAGAAACCTACTCCGGCGCCACAAGTCCGTTTGTCTGCCGCGCATCATTAACCACCCCGTCCCTTGCCTTGCCATCCACCGGCTATTTAAATTCCAACCCAGACCATAGCTGCATCCACCATCCCCCCCTCCCTTTCTCCTCTTCGCACCACGCCTGTCATGGCCTCCTCGAGCTATCAAGCCATTTGGGACAGTCTCTCGTCAGAGTAGAAGACGGAGATGGCCGCCATTGCCGCCAACTGACAGACGGAGGCCGGCGCTGCGGATGTCCCAATGAATGACGCGACCGACACAAGCTGGCGCCACCCTCCTCGCAAGTCCATGTCGGCATCACCATGCGCGAGGCATGTGCTCACTACCAAAATGGTGTTAGCCGAGCGGGAGGCCTTGTTCCGGCCGAGTAGGAGGCACTGGTCAACTCCTATCAGATTCAATTCCCGAGGCTCATGGCATGCTGGAAATGGGAGAACGGGCGCCGACCATCATTTAGACTAGGTGTAGAGTATATTTTGGTTCAAATATGTCGAAATGTAATTAATTTGCTCTGGTCTAGATTAAAAGCATCTGTTTTATCTAAATATTATTCAAGTGTGAATGAATATCGTCCAGTTTATTTAAATACCCATCAAATTTGTTCGCTTTCATTAAATTTCTTCTGAAATGCAATTGCACTTACGTGGATAGTTTTGGATGGCCGCCTCGTGCATCAGTGCCCACAGACTGGTCCCCGGTCCATGGACGGATGCTTTGTCCGTTTTGTGGCTTGGCGTTGGAGAAGCACTAAGAATCACGTTGTATTTTTCTCCCGCTAAAATACTATTTTATGCACAACTTCTCTTCCATTCGATGGAAGTACGGAGCTTAAGTATGCGCCAATGAAGGACGTTAGTGTGGCTTCTCACATGAACACTTCATGATCCAAATAAGGATAATTCAACCCATGACAAAACACCCGCATATGCACCTTACAGATGAGGGTAACCTTATTTCAAGGTTTGTCAAACTTGAATATAAGTGAAGCATAATGACACATAAAGCGGGTTTTGTCAATTTTTTTGCCCGTTGCAACGCACGGGCATATGCACTAGTATTAATAAAACACATAACATTATGGGAGCTGGAAGTGTGCAATTGTTGTTCTTATTTTGTTTACACTTGTGCTGAGACTTGATACCATTGTCATTAGCTTCAGTTTTCTGGTTCAGTGCTGAACATCGTCTATAGGCTAGCCATCGACGTGAAATATACACTAACATGCTTAACTTGTATGGAAAAGCTTGTCAGTTTCTTCCACCTTGTGTAGGCGATTGAAAGAAGATTACTTTTCTACCATCTACAAGTTCCCCCTACTCATTCATGCTACTTCGCTCAATTTCTTAAGAGAGGCATCTTTATTGTTCAACAGAATGAAGGAACAAGGTATCATGCCTCTAATGGTTTGCTTCCATTGGCGTTTGACTTCAGAAATTACAGTTACCTTCCTTGAGGTCAAAAATGTGACCTAACTTAGCAGTTAGTTATAACCGAGCCTCACAGATAATCGCAACCACATCATGCAGTTGCATTCTTTTGCATGAAGTTGTGAACAAACAAGTAGAACAAAAACCACTGGTATCAACCGGCAACAAAGGAGTGCATTACCAACTAGAGCATTGAACTACGAAAGAAATAGTAATATCACATCTCAAAGGTTCTAACAGATGATCAAAGCACATCTTGTATGGCGAAATGCAATAGATCAAACACATGCATGAATACCAAGGAACCTTAAAACTTAGCAGTTGTTGCAAGACAAGAAGAAGCTATAAGTAGCTAAACGGCTCACACATCCATCTAGAGCAACATTAAACAACACTTACAAAACACACTTTTGAAGGCTTGAGTGTAGCTAACAAGCTCTGAGCACTAACTAATACCACCTCCACCATGAACATTCGTTACCCTGATCTATCCAGGTTGCAAAAGGATAACAAAAGCTGTCGTTCCACACGATGATCACTGGCCCCATCTGAATAGAGCATGCTTGGATACACCCAGAGGGGCTTCATGTAGTGGCCCCAATATATTACGCACTGCCTCATGGAAGCGTCCCAAGGACCATGTGCGCTGTCCAGCTCGTGTACTCTCCAAGGTGGAGAACTCTCGGCGTAATACAATGAATTGCTCCTCCCTCCCCATCGTTCTGGGTTCATATTAGATAATGGCATGTTCTTCGTATCACATCCTGCAAAGACTGCCCAGCTGCCCAATTTTTTCTTGACAACCCATTTTGCAGGTTTGCTTGACATGTCGAGGTGAAGTGTACAAACCTTTTTCAAAATACCACCATCCTTAATACGTCTGCTCCAATGGTCAACCGTGATGAACATGAGGAGCATGTCACCACAAACCACTAGCCATGATGTTTGGTATGGGGTTCTGATCGAGTGGGGAGACCACTCAGTTATTATCTCTTGTAGGCCAAGCTGGGGCGCTAACTCGAAAGAGTAGATCCTTCTATGATAATCCATGGCAATAAACTGACCCTTGAATTCCACGATTTGAGTTATCTGTGCACCAGAAGGAAGTTTGAGTTCTGACCAAGAGTTGCTTCCAACTGGCCAATCAAATAGAGAGAATCGAGTGCCCACAAGGAGATGTGAATTGGGTGATGTAATGGGAGCTATTAGAACACCGAAGAAGTATAACTCCGCAATCTCTGAATGTTGAGCATGTATTTTGGTAGGACTAACCCGCTCACAACCACTGATTGGAAGACGTGGGGGTGAAACTTTGGAACCACTGAAAGGGTCAACAACAAGACAATATCCACGGGAGCAAAAGAAGATGAGATTACCATAGGAAGGGCCAACACAATACATCTTTTGTAGAATTTCTTCATCAATCTGGCAGCGAAGAGTGATGTTTTGGTTGGATGGGTCAATGACCTTACAGGTGCACAACTTGCAATGAATATCGTTAGATGGAACATGAGGAGCATCAACACGGATGTTGGTTTGGATGAGGAGAGGGGGGACCAGGGTGCAGAGGGTAGATTTGGATGGGTATGACAAGAATGCAACACGCCAAGAGCGGCATGTTGCAGAAAAGGCAAGAAGATCACATACAGAGCCTAAGAGAGGAAGAATAGTGTGCAACAAACCATCTGAGAGGTCTGCCCACTCTTGGAGTCCAGATAAAGTGGCAAGTGTGGAGACACACGGTTTGCTGTGCGTTTGCATGATGAAACACTCTGCAAAAATAAAACAATTCAAGGAAAAAAAAGTCAGAAAAATAGCATGCTATAACCATGTATAAGCATAATAACTTGATCTTCAGATTTAATGAATAATATATGTATATCAATAAACTTGTTATACATAAGTATTGACAAATAATGTTTTCAGAGTACACTTTGGTGGGTTCTCATGTTTAATATAAGAATATAAAATTCAACAATAAAAGACTTGCTTTTCGCGAATGTCTCAGGCCCTCCAGTTAAAACTTGAGACTTATCCATGATTGCATCTTCTACATTCAAAACATTTTTTTGTGACTGTGGTATTCTTGTGTTCGGGGCAAGATAAATAGATAATAACATGTGAAAAAGGAAACTTTTGTCAAATCTGTCACGGTAGTTAAAACTTCTTTGTGGAACCTATACTTATCTTCGGAACATGAGTAAAATGGTGATGGATCCTATTGCCTTTAAAAAGAGACAATGCGCCATAAGTGACAACAATGCACAACCAATATGGAAATACAACCCAATATTGGGACAATGGAATATTTATTTACGTTTGATGCTTCTTTCCAATTCCAGACCACTATTTTCATAAATTATTACCAAAATGAAACTATTACTATTATCTTATCCTATGTTCAAGTGCTCATGTTCCTCACCAAATTGTAAAACCCGTCATTGATGGTAAAACCGTTAATATATGGCAGATAGTTGCAGCTTAAATCATGTCAACGAGGGAGCTCCTCTACTATGGTGCATATTTTATCTCCTACTTGCAGCCCATGGGCACCCTACGTTGATTTAATTGTTCCCGATTTGTCTCCCGCTAGTTTAGTAGTGTTGCAGAAAAACATACAGTTAACTGAAAAGTCCATTGGTCACACCTGACTACAGGCGGCGGGATTTCCAGTCCCAGATGAAGTGGTAGAAATGTATATCCAAATACCCAATAATGGACTGGACCTTTTTATTTACGTTGTGACGAGTCTTGTTTCAATTTACACCAGACTCAAATTAAATCAAAGCTGATTTTTTTGTAGTTTTCACTCCATTGAAATTGACAAGGTTAAACCAACTAAATTTGTCTGTTCTCGGATTAGCTCATCAACTCGATTGGTTAGTGACAGTAACACATCTTACTTACCCTATTACCAGCGTGATCCGAGCTCTTGTGATGAGACCAACCAAGCGGAAATTCTAATCAGAACACACACCCACGCCATATGATGAACCTGGATAACACAATAACTAGGGTTTAAATGCGTTCACATGCGTGAGAGAGAGGGAGAGGAAGAAAGGAGGAAGGGGAGGGGAGAGCAGACCTTGTGGAGGTGATGATGTAGTGCCACATTCAATGTAGTCGTAGGAGCGATATATGGTGAGACATGGACTAGGTATAGAAGTGGGCAGCCATGGAGGAGGGGCGGCGGTGGCGGAGGAGGAGGATCGGTTAGGGTTAGGGTGTAAGGAGGAGAAGGAAGGAAGCATTTTATATGGCACGATGACATGGGATGAATGGCGGGATGGTGTCACTTTTAGATCTAACGGTGGGATGGTGCCGCTTTTAGGAAAGGGCCCATGTCGCTGCACCACTCGGTTGCTATCTCGTGCGGGCCCATTCGAGGGTCCAACCGCAAAGTTTAGATCATCCTATCTCAGTCCATGGCAATGAAAAAATCGTTGAATTGTACCATCTGTTGTATTCATCCATGAGGAAGCTTGTGTTCATGCCAAGTGTCACTTCCAAGGGGCCAAACAAATAGGGAGGACAGAGTGGTGACAAGGATATGTGAGTTGGGCGATGTAGGTGGAGCTGTCAGAGTGTGAGCATAACAGTACTCCTTCGTGACAGGTAGCAAAAAAAGGCAACAAGATCAAAGAATGAGATCAGGGCCAGTCGAGCAATGATAGAGTCCAGTAGACCCTCCGTGAGGTAAAACCGTAAAAGGCATGTATTAGTAGAATGGACTAGAATACAAAAACCTAATAGAGTGACCAACACAAAATCCTGATATGCTAGCTGTAACAAAAAAATCTAACATTGCATTTGCATCGCATACATCTAACGTTGCTGCTAATGTGACCTTCATAACAATAGTAACCAAATGCAATAGTACTTCTGAAACAGCCTCCTCCAGGCTCGACTGCAGCCTAAACCTTTAAACACTCCATGAACTCAGACTAATTGCCTACTGATGTTGTACTAGCACAGGTGAAACACGGTGTGGACAAATGCATTCGGGTTGCACTTAAGTACTTATGTGTTAGAATGGAAGGAACAAAATGAATGCATGTGATCAAAGAAGAAATATCAAAGTTGTTGCGAACTAAGTGGAGATACACAGTGAATTGTTCAAGCACGGCATGAAGAATTCAGACGGAAGATATCTGAACAGATGACTTGTCTCTGTTGCTGTAGCCAACGATTTAGTTGGACAGCATGTGTAAGGGGTGGTCTGGCCTAATCGGATCAATCTCCATCTGTGATCCCAAGTCTTGCCTTTCTGATCAACACACCTTGTATGATGTTTCTGCTTGGTGCTTGGTGTTCTGCGGTTGTGTAATGTTTCTCTTCCAAACCCACCTAAGGGTTCTTGCACTGGTGAGTTCAGAGAAGCCATGGAAGTACAGGGTCGGACAGGGAGAAAAGGCATGATTCGATAGGGCAAGCTAGGAAGGGTGTATATTTATGTATACCTGGCAGACGGCAAGTGGAAACAGAGGCGACAGACAGCAAGTGGAAACAGAGGTGATGGCGGATAATCAGTAAAGTATGCTGATTGTAGTGTTGTGTCACAACAATAGTTATTTGACTTGACATCTATTTTGGAACGGAGGGAGTACATAGCATCCCTACAGATAGTAGCAGGCTTATTGGAAGAGCAACTCGCATGGAAGATCTACTACTTGGTTGAGAAAACACAAGTTGTCTCAAAGGTAAACACCAACTTAGCACAGAAAAATGATTCACTACATGCACGTCCATGAAAATAGCACAGGATGAACACCAGTGCAATGGATGCAGAAGCAGGAGGTTCATAGCCAACATCTTAATATAGATCGACCACAATTACAAAAGGTTGAGAGATTCTTACACATCCTTCGAATTACAGAATCTGCTCCAATTAAGATATATCAGGAATACAACACGTTCTTCATCATCAGCGGTGCAGAGAGAGCATGCTGGGGAAAAACCACATGGGTTGCACCCTTCTGTCGCAGTCACCGGTAACATACCCATATATGTGCCCCGGCATGCCCAACTCAAAAGCGATCCAACGTTTAGACCATCGGTCATAGAAGTATATGCAATTGCTCCGTCCTCCCCATTTATTTGGGTTCATGCAAGACAATGCCTGACTTCTCTTGTCATGGCTGATGAATATCGCCCAATGCAATAACCTCTCCACCTTCAGCCATAATGCAGGCTCAGTCGATAGGTCAAGTTGGAACACCTCAAAGGTTAGTAAAGTATTTCCCTGCATGGCCACCAAGAGAAGCATATCGCCACATGCCACCAGCAATGCGTCGGAAAGATGCCATTTAGCGATCATGATTGACTCAGTAACTGGAAGTTCTTGTATGCTTATCTTGGGTGTCAGGTGCACTTTGAAGAGCCTACGATCAGAATCCATGCCAAAGACTTGCCCTTGGAATACCACGATTTGCTTGAGTGCTCCATGACGAAGAGAATGTGCCACCCAAGATTGGCTACCAACACGCCAAAACAGGTTTTGTGACCCGGCTTCAATAATGAGATATGAGTTCGCTGATCCTAGAGGAGCGGTGAGCGCACCATAGATGGGGCCACCGACTCCCAATACCGGTAGTTGTGGAGACGAGGTAGTCACACCTGTGAACACATCAAAAAGTACACATGATTTATTGTTGGAAAAAATAACATGACCGTAGGAAGCCCCAATGAAGCAAAAGTTTTCTAGAGGACTTGGCAGGGCTTTCTTTCCACGCGGAATCCAAAATATGGGAATCTCAAAGCACTGGCGAGTGGTGTCTCGGTTGGCTATATCAGTGACCTGACATGGGCGTGTGGGCACCAGGCTCTTTCTGAAGGTGGGAGAACGAGAAGAGCACAAAGAGACATCAGGCTGGAGAAGGAGAGGTGGGAAGCCTGCTGGACATGAAGAAAACGCGGCACGCCAAGAGCGGCAGGTGGCTTCGAAGGCAAAAAGATCACGGGAAGCGCCCAGCCGAGCAATGATAGAGTCCAGCAGTCCGTCCGGAAGGTCTGCCCAGCACCGGAAACCGTCAGACATGGCAGAGGCACAGATATAGCAGGCCTTGCTCTTGCAAATAACTGCAGCTCCTCTGCAACACGATAAAATAAAACACACGCATTAGAACAATGAACTAGACAACACAATAACCGAAGTAAAGATATAAAGCGCTAAGCACAGAGGGAGAGAGACACTGGATTAGCACGTACAGATCAACTTATTGGTAACACTGGATCAACATGCAGTATAAGTGTTACTTATAGCTAAGATGCAAATCCTATTTCTAAGAGGGCCAACGGCCTAAACCTTAAAACTCAGCGCCGAAGGTCTCAGCAAAATAAGTTGCAAGCAGAGTAGAAATAAAGGGAATTAAATACAGGTCCAGGTTTTTTTTTTTTGGAATTACATAGTGTTCTATAGTGGATGAGAATATATACATAGACACAATTAAGTGGGACTACATGGTGTTCTACTAGGGTATTAGTAATCTTGGTTTCAGATCAGGGTATCCAGAAGCAAGTCGCCTAAGGAGTCCATAACTTCTCATCGACGATACTCAGCAACTTCCGCCAGGCTAAATCCTAACCCTCGTCCTAGCCTAGAGGGAGGGTAGCCCTAGTTATGTACGCAGATAAGAGACGCCATGGCTGAGCTACGGACAGGGACGAGGAGAAGAAGGGAAGATGATTAGGACGGGGCGCGCATACTTGCAGGCGAGACGACGGCGACCGTGATGATGCGGCGGAAGTGGCGGCTCAGGCTC